AGCTGAAATCAAGAGTCGGATGCTTAACCAAATGAGCCACTTAGGCACCCCTCCATATGAATTTTAAAATGGCTTTTTCTATCTCTGTAAAAAAACATAGTTGGGACTTTGATAGGGTTTGCATTGACCCTGCAGATTGCTTTGGATAATTTTGACATTGTAACAATATAAAATCTTCCATTCCATGTTCCAATGGAACATGAGATATGTTTCCATTTATTTATGTCTTCTTTGATTTCTTTCAGCAATGGTTTATAAAGTTCCTGTACTAGTCTTTCATTCCCTGGTTAATTCCCAAGTGTTTTATTCATTTTGATTCTATTGTAAAAAAAATCATTTTGTAATTTCTTTTTCAAATTGTTCATTGTTAATGCAGTTGACCCTTGAACAGCATAGAAGTTAGGAGCACTGACCCCATGCAGTTGAAAATGCACATATAACTTTGACTCCCCCCAAACTGGAGCCTACTTAATAAAAAGAATATAATAAGGAAGATAAAATATACTGACAGTACTGTACTGTAAAAAATTCATTTATAAATAGACCGACTCAGTTCAAACTAATGTTGTTCAAGGGTCAATTGTATATAAAAATGCAACTGATTTTTGTGTTGACTTTGTTTTCTGCTACTTTGCAGAATCTATTAATTAGTTCTAATAGTGTGTGTGTGTGTGTGTGTGTGTGTGTGTGTGTAATCTTTAGGGTTTTCTACGTATAAGATTATATCAACTGCAAATAGGAATAATTTTACTTCATCCTTTTCAATTTGGATGCCTTTCTTTTTCTTGCCTAATTGTTCTAGCTAGAATTTCCAGTACATGTTGAATAGAAGTGGTGAAAGTAGGCATCCTTGCCTTTTCCTGATTTTAGAGGAAAAGATTTTAGTCTTTTACCATTGAATATGATATTACTTGTGGGTTTTTCATATATGGCTTTTATTACATGAAGGTAATTTCTTCTATCCCTAGTTTTCACAATGCTTTTATCATGAAAGGGTATTGAATGTTGTCAAATGCTTTTTCTGTATCAGTTGAGATAATGATGTGGGTTTTTTCCCTTCATTCTGTTAATATGGTATCTTACACTGATATTGCTTTTTGTATTGAAAAATCCTTGCAATGACACATCGGACAAAGGGCTAGTATCCAAAACCTGTAAAGAACTCACCAAACTCCACACCCAAAAAACAAATAATCCAGTGAATAAATGGGCAGAAGACATGAATAGACACTTTCCTAAACAAGACCAGATGGTCAACAGGCACATGAAAAGATGCTCAACGTCACTCCCCATGAGGGAAATACAAATCAAAACCACAATGAGATATCACCTCACACCAGTCAAAGTGGCTAAAATGAGAAAATCAGGAGCCTATAGATGCTGGAGAGGATGTGGAGAAACGGGAACCCTCTTGCACTGTTGGTGGGAATGCAAGCAAACTGGTGCAGCTGCTCTGGAAAACAGTGTGGAGGTTCCTCAAAAAATTAAAAATAGATCTACCCTATGACCTAGCAATAGCACTGCTAGGAATTTACCCAAGGGATACAGGAGTGCTGATGCATAGTGGCACTTGTATCCCAATGTTTATAGCAACACTTTCAACAATAGCCAAATGATGGAAAGAGCCTAAATGTCCATCAACTGATGAATGGATAAAGAAGTTGTTGTTTATATATACAATGGAATACTACTTGGCAATGAGAAAGAATGAAATATGGCCTTTTGTAGCAACGTGGATGGAACTGGAGAGTGTTATGCTAAGTGAAATAAGTCAGGCAGAGAAATTCAGATACCATATGTTTTCACTCTTATGTGGATCCTGAGAAACTCAACAGAAGACGAGCGGGGAGGAGAAGGGGGAAAAAAAGTTACAGAGAAGGAAGGAGGCAAACCATAAGACACTCTTAAATACTGAGAATAAACTCAAGCTAGATGGGGGGGGGTAGGAGGGAGGGGAAAGTGGGTGATGGGCATTGAGGAGGGCACCTGTTGGGATGAGCACTGGGTGTTGTATGGAAACCAGTTTGACAATAAATTTCATATTAAAAAAAAAAGAAAGAAAAGTCCTTGCAATCCAAGGATAAATTGCACTTGATCTTGGTGTATAATCCTTTTATATGATGCTATATTAGGTTGCTGGTATTTTACAGAGGATTTTTGTGTCAATGTTCATATGGCATATTAGTCTATACTTTTCTTACAGTCTTTTTCTGACTTTGGTATCAGGGTAATGCCGGACTTACAGAATGAGTTAGGAATTGTTACCTCCTCTTCAATTTTTTTCTAAAAGTTTTAGAAGAATTGGCATTTGTTCTTTAAATGTTTGGTAGAATTTACCAGTGAAGCCATCAGGCCCAGGGCTTTCTTTATTGGGATATATATATATATATATTTTTATTGTGAGTTCAATTTCCTTACTAGTTATAGGTCTATTCAGATTTTCTGTTTCTTCATGATTTAGTATTGGTTGATTTTATTTTTCTAGAAATTTTTCCTTTTCATCTAGGTTATTCAATTTGTTGATATATACTTACTAATACCACTCTCTTATAATCCTTGTTATTTCTGTAGCTTCAGTAGCTATGTTGCCACTTTCATTTCTGATTTTAGTAATTTGAGTTTTTTCTCTTCTTTCTCAGTCATCTAGTGAGTTTTGTCAATTTTGTTGATCTTCTGGTTTCAAAGATTTTTTTAAAAATTTTAAATTGCTTTTTTATGTTTTTATCTATTTGTGAGAGAGAGACAGAGACAGAGAATGAGGGGGGAGGGGCAGAGAGAGAAGGAAACACAGAATTTGAAGCAGGGTCCAGGTTCTGAGCTGTCAACATAGAGCCCGATGCTGGGCTCGAACTCATGAACCTGGAGATCATGATCTGAGCCAAAGTCAGCTGCTCAACCAACTGAGTCACCTAGGCACCCCAGGTTTCATTGTTTTTTGTTTGTTTTTGTATTCTCTATTTCATTTATCTCTGGTCTATATTATCTCTTCTCTTCTGTTAGCTTTGGGTTTAGTTTGTTCTTTTTCTTGTTCCTAAACTATAAGGCTAGGTTGTTGATTTGAGATATTTCTTGTTTTTTAATGTTTTTATGGCTATAAATTTCTCCCTTAACACTGCTTTTGCTGAGTCCCATAAGTTTTGGTATGTTGTGTTTTTGTTTGTCATTCACCTCTAAGTGTTTCCTAATTTGCTTTGTGATTTCTTCTTTCAACTATTGTTTGTTTAAAAGTATGTTGTTTAATAGGCACAATTTTGTGGATTTTCCAATTTTCCTTCTGTTATTTATTCCTAATTTCATCCCATTGAAGATACTTTTCATAATATTTATCTTTTTAAATCTATTGAGACTTAATTTGTGGCCTAATATATGGTCTACCCTAAAAAATGTCCTATAGGCACTTAAGAAGAATGTGTATGCTGTTGTTGTTGGGTAGAGTGTTCTGTGTATGTTTGTTAGATGAAGTTGGTTTATTGTGCTAAGTCCTTTATTTCCTTACTTATCATCTTCTGGAATGGTTGTCCTATCCATTGTTGTGAGCAGGGTATTGACATGTCCAACTATGTAGTAGAATTGCCTATTTTTCCCTTCAATTCTGTCAGGGGGAAAAGAGAACAATGAAGGGAGCAAAAAAGGGGTACTAGTCCTTTAAATTCCCTGGAAGTCACTACCTGGAGGGGGAGGGGCTTGCAACAACGGGAAGGTTCAACAACAACAATGGCTGCCCACCTCTTTGTCTATACCTCTGTGATTTGAAGCAGCAATCACCAATCAGAGCACAGATTCCCAATATTTGGAGGACAGGGTCCTTTATGCTCACCCTGACTCCCATGAGCTGTGTTAAAGCTGCTTCAGGAAGCTGTGCACAGCTGCCTGCCACTGGGGGTGAAGGATAGATAGCTGTTACTGTTCTAAGAGTTGAAATTGATTGAAATTCACCACAAATTTATCTTCCAAGTATTCCCCTGGAAGTTGTAAGCAAGGCATCAGTAGACTCCAGAGTTCCAAATACATAGTTATATGAGGCAGATTCTGCTAGTGCTGAATCTTGGCATTTCCTACTTTGCCATCTTTCCAGAATCCTCTCCTGGTAACATTTTGCCCTCTAAAAAATAACTTATGGTGATCACAATATCTTTACATTAAAAACCAGGAGATAATATATATATTTACTGAAGGAAAATCTTGGAAATAATGATCCAAATATTTGATTAAAGGAAATTGATTAAATAATCATATATTCACTTCAAGAGATATTTTCTAAAACCAGCATTCTCTACAACATTATTCTCTAGTCCCTTGCCTTACTTTGTTTTTCTTTATAGAACCTGATATTTTACTATGTGTGTATTGTTCATTGTATGTCTCTCTCACTATAATTAAGTCCATAGGGTAAGGGCTTTGTCGTTTTCACTACTGAATTCTCAGCATCTAAAATTTGCTAGAGTCTGGCAAATTCTAGGAACTACCTAAATATTTGTTGAATATATGCATAAGTGAAACATGAAAAGTTCCTGGGAAATACCACTTAGTAAAAAATACAGAAAATGAAATGTTTTCTCTCATTAAAACAATGAAAAGAAATGGCATACATGTTGATGGAGTTTGGAACCTAGAAACTTGGATATAATGGTCACCAAGGTAATGTGGAGAAATGGATATGATTTTTCTGATAGGAGACAAGGTTATAGGCAGTGTTTTTTTCTCTCTCTCTCTTTCCCTTTATTCTTGGTATTAATGTTTCAAAGTGGTTTGTGCTATGAAAAAAAAAAAAAGCTATTTTCCTGAGGCAGGTGAAAGCATGGATAGAATATTATGCTTGCCAAACTTATTCCTGATAAATGAGGCTATGTATTCCAGGGTGGGAAGGAATAGTCCTTGGAGCTTTCAGAGAGGAAATTAAGCACAGAGGAGGAGGAGGATTGCTTAGTGTTTGAACAGTAAGTCACATGATACATTAGAATCAAGGGATGTGGAGATAAGGGAACAGAAACTAGCTTCTCTGGTCTGTGTCCACAGGCTTTATTCTGAATTTAACAATGGAATACCAATAATCAGGCAAGGCCAGAACATAGAATTTCACATCTTGTATATGTCACAAAGGTGCTCAAGCCAGGAAACAAGTGGCAACTAAAATTCAGACCTTACTCTACTTCCTGAGTCACTGAAACCTGATGTAGGGCTATATCTGCCCAGAAAGGGTAGCTTTTTCTAATTTTCACAAAGGCATCATAGAGGATAGTTAGTGGAATGGACCACTGACTTAGTGTGCTGGAGTCTGATGCCAAGTAAAATAACGTCTTAGTTGTACCACATCAATCTCTACTCCAGCAAGTACTGGGGCCAGGCTCAATGTGTAGTTTTCAAATAACCATGTGAAAAGACATGATTAATATTTCTCACATATAGTCGTACCAGACTTGTATACTTGCTGAAAGACAAGTTTATATGCTGGATGTAAATATAGAACACTAAATGACCTATTTTCTTCTAATCCTCCTGCCATGATTTAATGAAGAAATGGGGGTGGGAGGGTTGCATATGGGAACACAGAAAGAAAAGCTTTGGAGTCCCAACTCTTGGATTCATCAAGTAGAAATATATTGAGTTGAAGTCTCCAATAACTTTCTCCTTATATCTCTCTAATTGCCTTAGGAAAAAACATTTAATAGTTTCTTAGTGGTTTGTGTTTCTCACATCCTCTGTAGCAACCATGTGAATTCAATGAATTCAAACATACCGCGCTCTTTCACCCTGCCTCCCCTTGGCCTATGCATAGAAAGTCTTTCATTGTTTCCTCAACAAATTCTCTTCAGCTTTTAAAACTCACTCTAAGATCATTTCACTGGGAAGCCCTCCTGATACACTCTCTTCCCCACTGCAGATATTTCCTCCCTCTTCTGTGTTCCCCCAGCATTTGGCACACTTCTCTATTAGCATATAGCATGATCTGTAAACATATCTGCTGACTTTGTTAAACTGTGGGCTAACTCAGAATAGTGTTTATATATTTTTAATGTTTATATATAGTCCTAGCATCTAATAGGATGCCTAGTGGAACGGGGTAGTCCAGAAATGTTTGTTGAATCATGAATGAATGAATGAATGCTATAATGACACATGCATGCATCTGATGCAGGAGATATGGGTTCAACTCTTGGCTTCACTGTTAACTTTCTTTATGTGGCAGATTAAATAGGGCCACAAATACTTTGATACTTTCCTTGTTAAGAAATGGTGTCTATGTTCTTTCCACCGAAATCTGAGTAGAGACTCTGTTAGTGCTTTAACTAATAAAATATGGCAACAATGACACTGCCAATTTCCAAGACTTGGGCTTAAAAAATGGAAGCATTCATTTCCTATCCCTTGGAACATTGCCTTTTGAAGCCATTGGATGATAGGTAAGATGTTTGGCAACCTTCCGGAGAGACCTCGTGGACGGGCTTTGAGACTACGTGCAGAGAGAAGGGCCTGACTGAGCCCAGCTTCTATGTGAGATGGGGTTAGCCAAATCCAGCCTTACCAATGTTTCAGTCATGTGAGTGAAGCTATCTAGGATCCTGCAGACCAGTCAAATTGCCAGCTGAACACCATAAACTGAGCTCATTTCAGTCCATGTGAAGCAGAAGAATCAATCGGTCAAGCATATGCCAAATATTACCCTACAAAATTAAGATATATAATGATTTTTTTTTAAAAAAGCTACTAAGTTTGGGGATAGTTTGTTAGGCAATGACTGATAACCAGAACATAAGTTGATACCTAGAAATGGGGCACTTCTGTGACACAAAACCCAAGACATTTGACATTGACTTTGAGACTAGGCAATGGTTGATGATTTGAACGGCCTTGAGGAGTCTATTAATGAAATTGGTAATGGCCTGGAGAAGCCAGTCCGAAGACTTACAGAATAGTCAAGAAATTGTTATTGGAAGCTGGAGGAAGGTTGGCAACATGGTCATTTATGGTAACATTAGAAAACAGAAAGGTACCTAATGAACTTGGGAATCTGAGTGGGGACTTTCCAGGCAGAAAGTATAAAGTATCAACTTGCTTTTTGTAGCTATCTATGATAAAATAAGAGAAGAGACTGGTAAACTAAAGAAGGCCCAGGATAGCATTTCTAGCCAGCACAAGGATCTCAAAGGAATAAATGGCCTCTTGGTAAAAGTCAAATCCAAGGTGTTGCCAGTAAAATAAGGTCACAGGGTAAAAACAAATCAAGGGTACAACTATAAAATCTTTGGTTGAGACCTCAGAGAGATTTAAGGTTGTGTCTCATAGATCTTTTTATAAGTTATTCCTAAGGGGAAAATTCTTTCTAAGAATCTTAATGCTGTGCTTCATTGACCATCAATGTTGAACAATAGGTTTTCTAAGAGTCTTAAGGGTGTCATTCTACAGCAGCTTCACAGGGGACCTAGGGTCAAGAAAGGCTCTCTGAAAGAGATTTGTGGGTTTGTTTTTTGGATAATGGAGTAGACTATAATATGATACAAATGAAACTCCCCAAATTGTAAAAGGATTATATTAGCTTGGCCTGAAACTGTCAGAGACAATACAAGATTAAAAGAGGTCTTTGGACTCCCATTCTGCTTTGGGCAGAGAGTAGGCTGAGGACACTACTCAGCTACAAAAATGGGCTGTTTATTATGGAAAAAAGGGGGATGATTCAGAGGGCAGTCCCAAAAATTATAGAGACTCTCATTCCCAGGGAGCAAAGATAGGCCTTAATTAAGGAACTAGCAACACGTGCCTAGCTAGATTTCAGAATTTCTATGCACCAGTGACTGCAATGTGCTTCCATTCCCCCAACCTACCACCACCACAGCCGTCTTTTGAACTGGAGCGCCACTGCAGTTATTTTATACCTTTTGCCATTGTAGTTGGGTGTGTAAGGGAAGATAATTTTCCTCTTTAGTTCAGAGATCTTCAGTTGAAAGGAATAATGCTCAAGAAGCTACAGCTTAGAAACTACATCTGAGGCACCTCATCTACATCTGGAACTCATTCAGATGATGAGATCATGGACCTTATTCCTGAGTCTGATGCTGTAATTGGTTGTTCTGGCAGGGTAGATTCTTTGAGAAAGTGAGTGAATTTTACATGTAGGAAGAAGAATGTAAAATAATTTATGGTCTGCAGGCAGATGGTCACAGATTAAAGATGGCTGTAAATTCTTTGATCCTTTACCATTGTCAAGTGGTGTATCTCCTCCTCTAGAGTCAGGGTGAGCTCTATCATTGTTTTGAGCAATAGAATATTGTAGAAGTGGGAGTGCCTGGGTGGTTCAGTTGGTTGAGCATCTGACTTCAGCTCAGGTCATGATCTCCCAGTTGGTGGGTTTGAACCCCACCTTGGGCTCTGTGCTGACAGCCTGGAGCCTGGAACCTGCTTTGGATTCTGTGTCTCCCTCTCTGTCTCTACCCCTCCCCTGCTCACGTTCTCTCTCTCTCTCTCAAAAATAAATAAACATAAAAATTTTAAAAATATATATTGTAGAAGTGACACTGTGCTAGCTTCCAAGCTCAAGTCTTAAATTATGGTAACTTTCCACTTCCTGTCTCTAGGGAACATTGTCTCTTTGAGCCGTAAGCCACCATGTACCCTGCTGGAAAGATCACACTGAGACCCTCAGTAGGGTGAAGGGGACCCAAATGAAACCAACTTTCTAGCCATTCCCACCAAGCCTCAAGGCATGTAAATGAAGCCAAATGAATATCTTTGAGTGATCTCAGTTGACTCTATGTGGAGTAGGAGAAGCAACTAACTTAGTCATGACTGGATTCCTGATTCAAAAATTGTGAGAAATAATAAAATGGTTGTTGATCCAAGCCACCTAACTTTGGGATAGTTTGTTACCCAACAGTAGATAACCGAGATCTCCATGGCTTTGGGTCAAGTCTTTTCTCTCTAGAACTATTTCTTCAGCTTGGGCAGTGTCAGGCTAGGTTAGGTGAGCTCAAAGGGCCTTAACAGTTCTGATTTTCAGTTCTATTCCGAATGGCATTTAGACACTTGTTGAATAATCAGTGGAATATAGACTATATATAACTAGATACTCAATAAGTATTTAAATGAGTTTTGAAGGATGAAAAAGAACTGCTCATGTAGAAGTGAAGGGAAGGACACTTCAGACAGAATGAACAGCATGTGCAAAAACTCAAAAACCTGAACAGTTTAGGAAATTGCAAGAATTTCAGAATTGTTGAAGTTTCAAGTACAAGGGAAAATGGGGGAGATGAAACTGGAAAGATGAACAGGGCTGGATGCTAAAGAGACTTACAGGCATGGACAAATGCCTATAGGCTTTATCTGCAGACCCTGGAACACCTTGAAAGGAAAATTATCACTGAATCCTTTGTAAGATAAATGAGATTATCCATCTTTTCATACATATGGAAACCAAGGTTTTGTTACCTGCCCAAGATCACATAATTAGTGGGTGGCTGATCCAGGATTGGAATCCATGTCTAATACCTCTGAAACTACATTTTCAAAGGCTTCAGAAGTGAAGGGCAGAAGACATGAATAGACACTTTTCCAAAGAAGACATCCAGATGGCTAACATACACATGAAAAGATGGTCAACATCACTCATCATCAGAGAAATACAAATCAAAACCACAGTGAGATACTACCTCACACCTGTCAGAAAGGCTAAAATTAACGACACAAGAAACAACAGGTGTTGGCAAGGATGTGGAGAAAGGGGAACCCTCTTGCACTGTTGTTGGTGGAAATGCAAACTGGTGCAGCCACTCTGGAAAACAGTGTAGAGGTTCCTCAAAAAGTTAAAAACAGAACTACCCTGCTGATCAAAAAGGATTTAAATAATATAACAGAAAGTGAATTTAGAATAATAGTCATAAAATTAATCGCTGGGCTTGAAAACAGTATAGCTGACAGCAGAGAATCTCTTGCTACAGAGATCAAGGGACTAAGGAACAGTCACGAGGAGCTGAAAAACGCTTTAAATGAAATGCATAACAAAATGGAAACCACCACGGCTCGGATTGAAGACGCAGAGGAGAGAATAGGTGAACTAGAAGATAAAGTTATGGAAAAAGAGGAAGCTGAGAAAAAGACAGATAAAAAAATCCAGGAGCATGAGGGGAAAATTAGAGAACTAAGTGATTCACTAAAAAGAAATAATATACGCATAATTGGTATCCCAGAGGAGGAAGAGAGAGGGAAAGGTGCTGAAGGGGTACTTGAAGAAATTATAGCTGAGAACTTCCCTGAACTGGGGAAGGAAAAAGGCATTGAAATCCAAGAGGCACAGAGAACTCCCTTCAGACGTAACTTGAATCGATCTTCTGCAAGACATATCATAGTGAAATTGGCAAAATACAAGGATAAAGAGAAAATTCTGAAAGCAGCAAGGGGTAAACGTGCCCTCACATATAAAGGGAGACCTATA